CAGTATTGCCATTAACTAAAAACATACCATACACAATGTCAGAGGCAGCCTGTGCTTTCTCGGCGTCCAGATGGTTGAGACGTCCATGATTAGCAGATCCCTTGAACTGAGACTTCTGAGCGGCTGAGTTCTGAGGGCACTCAGCGGCTTTGTGACCCGGTTGGCCACAAGCGAAGCAGGTGAAAGGCGCACCGCCTGTAGGGGTTGGCGCGGGTGCCTTCCAGTTTCCAGTGCTTGGTGCAGAGCGGTTCTGTGCTGGGCGTTCATTCGCTGAGCGGGGACGGTTGGAACGGTCCTGAGTGTTGCGGTCCTGAGCATAACGGTCCCGGGTGTAACGATCATGAGCAGGGCGAGAGTATTTGGTGGTGTAGCCTCCACCACCCCTACTCGATCTAGGGTTGTCATCCCTGTTGTGGCGAGAGCGTTCCCTGGATGGTGCATCTCTGCGGAACCTCTTGCGGTCACGGCCACGGAAGGACTCCTCAGGATTACGCTTCCTCTCCCTGTACTCCTCTCCAGCTTTAGCACGGTCCTTCTCAATCCGGATGCAGCGATCCACCAGAGCACGCAGCGTGCTACTCTCAATGCCGCCAAACTTCAGCTTGATGTGCGGGTTAAGTCCCTTGCGGTAATAGTACAAATTCTCCTTCTCAGAGTTCACAACATAGGAAGGTGCATAGCGTAGAAGGTTGGTGAAACGAGTAGTGTACTCAGTCACCCTATCCTTTCCCATCTTGATGTTGCGGAACTCCTCGGCTTTAGCCTCCATGATACCCTTGGGAATGTGATACTCAGTGAATGCTTCGGCGAACTCATCCCACGAGATGTTGGCAGGGTCCTCATGGGAATCACTGAAACTGTCCCACCAGGCGCGTGCTGCACCTATGAGCTGGTGTGTGGCAGCTCCAACACACTCATCATCGGTGAAGGTGGTGAGGTTGAGCTTCTTTTCCACCTCCTTGAGCCAGTCATCGGCTACAAGCGGGTCAGGGTCCGTGCCATCATAGGTAGGTGGTCTCAGCTTCAAAAATCCCTCCAGCTTCCTTTGGAAGTCATTCTGCTGACCTCCCTGGCGACGGTTTGCTCCGTCTACAAGAGCTGCAAGAAGCTGGGTCTGTTGCGCCATCACCTCTGCCAGGTTCGGTGGTGGTGGTGGCAGAATGTTCTCCTCAACAAGCGGTGGGGTATTCTCCAGGTTGAAGGGTATCCCTCCACGTCCAGGGCCACGGCCACGCCCACGGTTGTTGCCACCACACCCCCCGTTTGGTTCGACTGGTTCGGGGGTGGGCGCACGTCCACGGTTCATTAGGCGAGCAGATCGGCGGTTCGGCATCTGCAACACGGATCGTAGGAATTTTAGTGTTTGTGCCATAAGTGCTTATAATTCAGTATGATTACATGATTTTGACGATTTAAAGAAAAACATTTATACTATCCAACACTCATTACAAAGAAGCAATAAGATCCAAAACATTCATTACATGGGTTTATTACATAGCATCATCTCCAGTAGCTACACTTGAAGACTCCTGAGAATCGTACTACGCATAGTGTCTCATATTACATCTCATAAGGGGTACATCATGGGGTACAACTTATGGAAGCCACTGACATGAATCATGACCACGCAGGGTCATCTACTCTAACTCGTACACCGCAGCTGGGATAGGACTGTTCTCGATCTCGATCTCCTCGTCAGACTTGTGAAGTCGGGACACGTATTTCAAGGCCTCGGCGAGCTCCTCATTAGGCTTGGCTCCAGGTAGGGTAGGGCAGCCGTCTAGGTTGAGGCGAGTCGGGGCTAACTCAAACTCCTCTATCCTAGGCTTCGTCTTGCTGCGAATCTCCTTGGGTAGCTGATCCCACATACCCTTCATCTCCCTGAGGCGCTTCTTGTCAGACTTCTGCCAAGCCTGCCAAGTCCTCTCACACTTATCCTGTAGGTACTCGTTCTGTCTGAGTGCCTTGATCAGGTGACACTGGTTGTGAGCAGCCTTCTTCCTGAACTCCTCTAGCACCTGAGTCATGGCCTTGTTCTTATATTGGATTTTTAGCATATCAATCCCCTTTGACCTCTCTTTGTCTCCTCTGCGGTTGAACTCGGCCTTCTTGTCGTCTAACTCTCTCTGCAACTCCAAGACCTTGCTGTCGAGGTAGCAGTTCCTATTGCCTAGGTCGGCGGCTTTGTCCTGTAAGTCAGCGACCTCGGCTCTGTGGACTTCTTCACGACGGTTGAGCTCATCCTGTAGCTTGGCAACTGTCTCAAGTAGACTAGCTCGCTCTTGTGCTCCCTGGGAGTCTCACTCCTGGTACTCCCACAGAAGGGCCTGGTCCTGACGTCTCCTCTGCTCAAGCTGGGTCATATACCTGTCCTGCCCTAGTAGGTGGATAGCCGAGACGCGAAGGCATCTGTCCTCCTCTGCAAAGATAACTCTACCGGCTGCGAAACTCTGCTCACTAGGGGTAAGGCTGAGGTCGAGGACCTAGGGAAGTAGACGGAACTCTGTCGTCTTCAGGTGCTCGTAGTGGTCCCTCATCACTCTGCGAAATGCCTTGTGTGAGACAGCTCGCAGTCCCTCCTCAACTGTGTCCTCTATAGTCAACTCGGTGAAAGCTGGGACAGAAGGTAAGGTAGTGCTAGCTGGGAACTCGACTGAGGTGACAACCGGTCCTTCGATTCCTCCTTCTTGAGCTGACTTCCCGGTGTAGGTGACCTTGACAAGCTCGTCAGGGACTCCTAACGTGACGAGAACTCGGCAGAGGGTCTGTGTAAAACCCCCGAGCTCACGTAGGTCGAAGGTAAGCTTGGCGTGGTCTAGAGGTAGCGGTCCTAGAGGCAGTCATTCGACGTTCGTTGCCATCTGCATGTTTTAAGGAAACATGTGTTAGCAGGTCTATAATTTGATAAGCCTTGCATGAAAGTAAATGTAGGGTCGGTATATAACCAAAATAAGGGCTGTTCACGTCCTATTCTATCGTCCATTTCTGAGGGTTTCGTCCTAGGATCAAGTATGGCTCTAATACCAACTGAAACGACCTGATTTTCGTGAAGGGAAATCCACAGAGTTGAAGTGTATCATGACCGTTGTAGATCATATTACCCAAATTTCAATCGAACACCACATCCATATAACAATAATATCAGAGTACAAATAGTGCGGAATTACATAAATTATTACATCGCCGCATTGACGGAATCAAAAGTAGCATTTATTCAGAACAGCTTGAAGATAAGATCACCAAACTCGAGCGTAGGAACGAACCCCTCAACCGTCAAACTCCTCAGAGCTATACTCCTCAGCAGAACCTGTGTGCCAAAATTTATCAGTACGATTTGTACTGGCTACTCCCACCCTATGAGCATTCCTTTGTGGAAATTGGATTCAAGTTGGATATATTCAAAAGGAGCCTATAAGGCTGGGGTTTCCTATGTTTTAGCATACCATCGCTCAGTCGACAGGCCAACTCCCTCTTGGCACTGTCTCAAGGCCCGTAGCCCCTGGCTACGACCGACACTCTCTCACGGGGGAAGAAGAGAGAGACTCATCTCGCTATCTAGTTTAAGCGAAACCCAGAAAAGGTCCATAGCCGACAAGTCGGCATATGTATCGATCGATCAACCATACCCTTTGCAGAGGTTTTACATAACCACAAGATTCGCCTTCCTCGCTGACCGTCGTCAACTGGGCTGATTCCGGCCGCTTGCTAGCCTAGGATAATGCCACTCTACCATTCAGCCCTGGTACACCCCAAGTCTAGTCTGGGGTGGCTGAAACTGTGAGTCATGAGCCGGGTCCACAAGGTCTCCATGAAGTCTCGGAAGGGTGTGGGGGAAATCCTCCGCGTCCCCGTACCTCCTCGCACTGTCCGCTATCAACCTAGCAGTAGTGGCAATATCCTACCAAGTAGTCCGGCCGTCCCGCACCATATAGGGCGAGTGGTACGTAAGGCTTCCTGGTGAATCTGAGTACTAGTAAGTCCTTAGGGATGACCAAGCCAGAATGTCTTCATCAGGGTTTCCATTTACCGTGCCACCACAGCACCACCACCCCGGGCTCCTCCCATCACAGGTTCACACCCAGGGCCACCTCATATCACTATTTACCCACCACAGGTATCCATTCCAGGGTTGCCCAGGTAGCACCCCACGGCAAGACTTGCCCCAGGCTCGTCGTATACTCCAACTTGGTCGACACAATCCTCACCCTCCACGCACCCAAGTCACACACGCAGCACTCTCCCCTTAGTCCAGATAACATCAGTTTCCACCACGCATCAATATGGTATATATAAGCGTAGTAGAAATAATAAGCAGTGAAATATAGCAGCAAGCGTGTGACTTAGCCTAACAGCAGGGTGAGCAGGGGTAAGGTTGCATCAAGGTAAAGGCCATCAAGAAAGCATACTACCATGCAAGTCCTATCATAGTGTGATTATAACAATAAAGTAAAGTAATAGCAGCTCTATATTAGCCATGTGTAATAGGTGCTACGAGATTGGGTGGGATGTGGCACCTTCCGTGTAGTCGTCTCCGTACTCCTCACGGTACTCTCGGTCCTCGTCCGTCTGGTTCTCCTCCGAGTCTGCAAACGATCGCATTATAGTCGTGTTAGTGACGTCTATAGAATAGCACAAAGAAGCAATGAAAATTCAAAAGAGCCAAATGCACTCAAACATGGGTTCATTGCGTAGAGCTCGATTTTAGATGAATTTTGGTCCTGGTTTCATATTTTTCTGAGGTCGTATGAATTAGTTATGAATTTCCGAAGATTAAATCCATTTCAAAATAATAAAGGCTGATTAATTCGTATGACACGTGTCACACCGTGGATCGGTTCTCACGTGGCATCTTGACGTCGACTTGACGTCATCGAGCTAAACCGCGGATTGATGTGTGGGTCCGTTAGCGACGCCATGACGACGATATCTCTCGCTTGGTCACCGGCGTGTGGTCCGGGTCAAACGGTCACCGACAGTGGGTCCGGGTCAACCGGTCATTGATGTGGGACCACATGACGTCACCCATCGATAAGTGGGTCCAGCTGCTTCTGTCGCCGACTTGTGGGCCCGGTCAGCGGTCGGCTCGGTAGGGTCCAAATCGGGCGGTTGGGCTGGATACGGGCTGGGCTTTGGCCGCCACGTGGCCTTGTGGCGATGCGCGCCATGTCGCCTTCTTCGGGCCACTAACGGGCGTGTGGTCCACGGGCGCAGTGAGGCGCGGTTCATGGTGAACCCGCTGCGTTGGTCCATAGACCACAGAGCCGGTCTATGAAGGACTTGGTCCACTTACACCTTTCCAGGGTTCGGTTCACGTGCACCAAGTGCACGGACGTGTGGCCGACGAGGGGAAAATCCCCTGCTTCCTCCCGGCGTGCTCCCGCCGGTGGTGAGCTCCCGGCCCACCCACCATGGTAGTGTGTTCAATTTAAGGTGGGCAAAAGCTTGGCCTTGCCATGGCGGGTGCCCCGGTGAAGTTAACGTGGTGGTCGAGCGGCTCCAATTGGCTGGCCGCGGTGGCGGCGGTCCTCGTACACCGGCGAGCGGCGGAGTGGTGGCTGTGGCGGCGGTACCGGAGATTGGTGGTGCGCACGAGCTCCCCGGCAGCCGCTATGGCCATGGCGGCGCAGGTCGAAGGCGCTCCGGGAGCTCTCAACGCCTCCGCCCATGGTGACGGCGGGGCTTGGTCATGGCGGCGCTCGGCGCGACAAAGGTTGCGTGTGGTCGAAAGCGTGGCTGCGGCGATCTTATTGCTCACTAAGCATCGCGCGCATGTCCCCGCGAACGGCGGAGCTTGGTGTGATGTTAACGGCGGCGTGTCCGCGGTGGGGTGGCCAAGCGGCCTCGCCATGGCGTGTTTCTAGGCCATGGTGGCGCGCCGGCGTGTTCTGCGTCGCGTTCAGCGTGCGTGTGTCCATGGCCGTGTCTTGAGCAACGCGTCGTGCTTGGCGTCGACCGATCGCGTGTGGCGTGGGTGCTTGTGTCGCGCGAAGAGAGGCGGCGGCGTGCGGTGTGCTCGGCGAGGGACGGCCCGATGTCGACATGGCGTTTGTAAGCTCGTGCTCGTGCGTGTAGTTAGCCACGGCTTGACCTCAAATTGGCTTAGCATAGCACCGCAAGGCTGAAGAAGACGATCATGGAGGTCTTTTGGTGGCAGTTTGGCTAGGCCGAAGCTTGGCTTGAGCTCCGGCGTGGTTTATTCATGGCGGCCAGGGGCTTAGAGTTGGTCTTAGTCATAGGAGGCTTACCGCGGTGTTCTTGACGGTGTGGTGCAGCGGTGCAGCGAGATGGTGTGGCCGTGTAGCTCCGGAAGCAGTGCAGTGCGGCGTCGCTCGCTCCGGCTCCGGCGAGCTCCTCCCCGCAGCGGCTTCCTTCTCCTCCTTGCTTCTCCCTCCTCCCTCTCTCTCGGCTTGACGCTGTGTGGTGTTGTGCCACCAGCGGCGGCGGTGAACGGGCTGAGGGTTAGTGCTCACGGACGTTGGCTTTTATGGCCGAGCTCCAAGGGCTCCAATGGCGGACGGCGATCGGGCGGTGGTGATGCGTGCGGCGCATCCGATGGCCCGCGTGCGGTAGCGTAAGCGCGGCGCAAGGGGGAAACAGGGTCATGCTTCTTGCGTGACCCCCTGGCCCGCGCCTGCCACGCTGGTCGGCCCCCGGTCGCGCGGGGAGAATGCGTGGGCGAGGGGAAGAAGACGCTACTGTGCTGACAAGCGGGGTCGGGTCGTCAGGCGCTTGGTGCGATGTGGCTGCGTGCGGCGCGTGATGGCTGACGAGCGGGCCCGGCTTGTCAGCGGCTGTGCGCGTGCGGGCGGCGATGCTGGGCCGGCTTCGTGGGCTACGCGCGTGAAAGGGCAGGCGAGGCTCGGCTGGGCTAGCTGGGCCGGTCGAGGCAGGCTGGGCTGAGCTGCTGCCTCCCTCTTTTCTTTTCCATTCTTCTTTTTCTTTTGTTTTTCTTTTCTTTATTTGCTTCAAATTGATTTGGAGTTTGAACCATATAGCTTCACACACTTATACATGGTATATGTAACTTGTCCAAGGGTTAGAATGGTGGCCTAGACTCATCCCATATATTTGGGATTTATTGGCTATTTTTGCTATACCGAAATTAGTTATAGTTTTCTATTTTATGTATTTTATCCTTTGAGTTGAGTATTAATTGTTCGAAAGTTTATTAATTATTAAAGGAGTTACATAAAGCAATGAAAATCCAAATCACATGTTACAATAATAATTATGCATGCAAGGTTTTACGTGTTGGGGATTTAAACACTCATATATGACATGTGTCATGATATGGTTATGAAAATGACTACTTAGGTTATACTTAAATGCAATACTTAGGATTGGCTCCTACACATGGCACTCAACATTGCATGGGGTTTAAACAAAAAAAATTCAGTTGGGATTTGGATTTTTGGTGTGTGGATTTTTAGGTTGTTACACTATTGACACAGTATATGTTTTGTTCGAAGTTTATATTCAGATACCTACTGGAGTTAATATTTCCCTAGTCTCAGTTGACCTATTCGTTCTAATACTTATTTGCTCTTGTAGTGTACTCCCTCACTCAGCATACTCATCTTTTTTTCCTGCACTATTTTCCTGTTTTCTGAACAATTTTCTGCTGCAGGTCTATTCACCAAAAGTCTCAGGAAACCTCCCCAAAGAAAACACATAAAGCTGAACGAGAGAAGCTTAAACGTGATCAGTTGAATGACCTTTTCGTTGAGCTGGGCAGTATGCTAGGTTAGTAAAGTAGGTCATTAACCATTGACTATCTGTAATAGAATCAATTTACGCTCTTGAGAAAGATATCAGTATCTGCGCTTGGATTCCATCATTCTGTTCTCCACTTGAGCTCATCTGTTAATGGTGACCAGCATGATGTGCCCTCTCAGCGAGGACTGAAATTATAACATACATTAGCTTACATTATGTTTACAGGATCTATGTAGTATATCTGCATCATTTGGTATATTAGGGTGTGTTTGGTTCCGTGCCTAGGCAGCTTTGCCTGCCAGGCAACAATCTCAGGCCCGTCAATTTTGGTTGCCTGGCGGCCAGGATTGCTGCCTGGCAGGCAAGCTGCCTGCCATATCACGAACTGAACAGGTAATGTATCACCTTAGAGAACTCATCTCATACATACCTTCATTGTTGTCTAAAAGGTCTACCGACCCCTTTCTTTAAATTGCTAAAAAAATCCACATGTGAACTGCTCGCTTTCCTTCTCTATTTCAAGCTTCGCTTTGAGCGGTCCATCATACATTAATGTTACTAGGCCAAAAGGCATCAACTTGTTATTTAGCCTCTAAATTTTTTTATTATTATTTTTAAGTTATTTGCAATTCTTTTCTTCTGTTGTTTCCATTTTGTTTATGGATATGCTAGCGTTGTCGTACTCTGGCATCAGCATGTTAGCACCATTTCTACTGAGTACATTTGTGGTTGTTGCCATGAAAGGAACTGCTAATCTGGCTGCCAAATTCTTCAAAGTTAATGTATATGGTTAAGCTATTAATACTATGATGTACTTTGAATGGAGCACCACTGTGGATAATTCTTGCTGATGTACCATGCAATCATGTTATTCTGATGACAGGTAGGGAATGCCATCTGCTGAACTGCATACTTATGATGAACATTGATGCTTTTTACTTTGTATCCTGTGCCATTAAATATGATTGCATAATCATCCTCATGTGTTCCGGTTGTTTGCAGAACATGGCCTTAGTTTTACAGGTCTGTATGTTAGGGTTATTGATTTTGAGATATCTGAGCCATTGATCAACATAGTTCTGCTATTACAGATCTTGATCGACAAAATACTAGAAAAGCTACAGTATTAGGTGATGCTGCACGAGTACTGCGAGATCTAATTACTCAAGTAGAATCTCTTAGGAAGGAACAATCTGCTCTTGTATCGGAACACCAATATGTGAGTTTCCAAATTCAAGCACTTATATGCTCTTTATAAAAAATCAACATGCTATATTCTGCATGAATTCTTATGTTTCTCAACTGATGGAGACGACCAAACGGATCTTATTGCACATTTTTGAAAACCACCAAGTCCTCTACAGTTATTATTTGTTCAGAATTATAAACATCTAGCTTAAGTTGCTCTTCTAAAAGTAGGACATGTATCTGTTGTGAATCCTGTGATTGATTCATTAAAACTGACTGTAGATGCGAGACTCATTCAATGGACTCTCGTTAATATTTCATATTTACCATGAGATTACTACTGATCGCACTTGCTTGCTTGATTTAGTTCTTTGGTAGATGTTTCAGCTTACTATCTGCATTTCACCTGTTAAGCCTGAAGTACACTTATTGACAGGTCAGTTCAGAGAAGAATGAGCTGCAAGAGGAGAACAATTCACTCAAATCACAAATATCAGAACTACAAAATGAGCTCTGTGCAAGGTTGAGGAACAGCAGCCTCAATCAGAACAGCCTTGGCGTGCCACTACCAGTTGCGAACACTGTAGGTCCTGATCTGGCAACTCACCGTATGCCACAGCATATGTGGAGCAACATTCCTAATTTAAGCTCTGTGGCCATGGCGCACCCAACAAATACAGCAACTCTGTTACACAGTCAGGGCCACTCTGCTGATGCTGGCCAAGGCCATGCGCCCCAACCTCGGGAGCTGCAGCTCTTTCCAGGGGCATTATCTCCACCAGAGCATGGATGTTCCGTTCTAGGAAACGACCAGGCCACATCGTCGAGCCTGACAGATTCCTTGCCAGGGCTTCTGTGCCTAAGCCTCCCACAATCATCTCAGGAAGGAAGCAGCAGCGGTGTATCGCGCGGCAGAAAGGAACGGCGGAACGGTTAGCCAACTGACAACACTGAATCAGTAAGTGGTGGCAGCGATTGTCCTGTAAATACCAAGAATCCCCTCCCTCTACTGATTCAGAAGTCAGAACTAATGTTGTAGTTGCTCGGCGTTGAATCGCCACTCTGTTTGTAGCGCTTGTTCTAGAAACTTGAGAACATGTGTGGCTATACTTGTGATGCGGGCTGATCAATCTTGTGAGGTGGAACTCACCGGTCTTTTGCTATATGTTTTCCATGAGGTTGTAAGAACACCTTAGTATTAGTGTATTACAGAGAATGTGCTCCTTAGTTGGAATAGAAAAGCAATTTGATGGCTATGATGCCTTGATCTGTTATCTTCCTGCTCCCAGTGAAAACAACCCTGCACATGTAATCTTCGAATAAAAATCATGCCATCTTTCAAACAATGAGAAGAGCAGATGTTGCCTGCTAGCATCAGCTGCTACGGAGTGCTGAACTATGCACCCAGCAAGCACAACGTCGCAGTTGCATACAGGTGCAAGTCATGCTACACAGCCGTGCGCCGAATAAAAAGCCTCGCTTCGTCACAAATGCAGGTGAAGAGGTCATCCACAGTTCTGAACGCCGCGATGAGGCCCTGTCCCCAATCCAATTATCCAAGGTTGCAGCACAGAGCACAGTTTATTTAGCTTGGTTTTTGCCTGTTCTAGTGGAATTAATTCTGCCTAAAGACATTGTAATATCGGCAGCACTGGCGTCCGGACACAGTGGCAGAACCAGCCCCCCCCAACCAAGTACAGTAGGTTTTAATTAATACCTATATAAATATTTGAATTTACGGCATAAAAAATATCAATTTTCACCTATTTTTAATTAAAATATTATGATTTTGGTTATAAGTAGTGTACAAATTTCTAAAAAGTTGTTGAAACATGTAATTATGTATATTTTATCATACTAAAAATGCAATCATATTTGTTCAGCCCCCCTTAATCAAAATCGCCGGTTCTACCACTGTCCGGACGGATGCCGTCCGAACGCCCGCGCCACTCCCCCACGCTTCCCTGCTTCTCGCGCCCCTCCACGCCTGCTGCGCCGCTCCCCTCCATGCACGGCGCCCCAGTAGCTGTAGCAGGCGGCTGCGGCAGGTGGATCACATTGCAACAAGCACACCAACCCCGATCTACTTCTGAAACATCTAAATGAAACAATTGCAACATACGTACGAAACAACTAAAACATCCGAAACATGCGTCTGAAACACATGCAAAAACACGTGAAAAACAAATTGCAAACATATGCAACATCCAGTGTGTGAAATATATACAGTATCCAGATAAACAGACTTGCAACGTACGTCTAAAAAAACAGATGAAACATTGGGTACATACATTTGCAACATTGCAACATGTGCAACATCCTGATCTACTTTTGCAATATCCGCATGAAACACTTGAAACATACCTAAAAAATATCTGAAACACTTGAAACATACGATTGCAACATAAAGAGCCTTGGGCTAGGCGATTCCAAATGATTGGGGTTGGGCCAAGCGCCGCTCGAAGCACCACCACCACCACCATCGCTAGCAAAGACCAGCTTGGTTTGGCCACCGGACGGCGCGCATGATGACTTGGGGGGAGCGAAGCGCGTGGATGGGCGAGCGCAACGGGCATGAGTGAGCGGCGTAGGATGGGCGCGCGGCGGTAGCGAGGAGGAGTGGGCTTGCGGCGTCCGGTCGGGAAGGCCGCCGCGTTGGAGAAAGCTAGCGGCGCGGTGGATGCGCCTGCAGCGGTCGCATGCTTGCGGCAGCGAGGAAAGAAAATATTGCTATGTTTTTTATTTTTTATTTTGGAGAAATTATATCGTACTGAATGTGGAGCGGAGGAAGCCTGGTGGGCCTGATCGTTGGGCAGGCTCGGGAATGAGCCGTCCGAACATAACACGCCTGGACGGATGCCCATGTACCAGCATTATCATTTATAATTACCATACACTTAGTATATAAATTGGTCATGAAATATGTAAAGTGTATAGTTTTTTTAATGAATCTCAGCACAAATACAAACACTCATATACATATATGTGCAGCTTATCCCTATAAGCTGCAGACAGATCTAAGATTGACAGTCACCATAATTATCTTCTTGTCGATGGACAGTTAGGCACGTCACATACAATTAAAAGAATAGTACCATTAAATCTAAAATAATTATGAACATCATATAAAATGAAATATGGATAAAACATCCGTCTCAATACAAGTTTTATTCTATAGTTTCATAGATATTTAATTTCATGGTTCATCTGGATCACTTCTCTCTTAAAAACATTGCTATGTCATAAAAACAATTATGTGACAACCTATTAAATACAAATAAAACTCGTGCAAAACTCTCACTGAGACTAGACCAAGTGTCTAATTCTTGATGTCTGTCATCACACTAAGACTAAACTAAGATTAAAATGCGGAAGCTGGATATTCCGTACAGGATGGTAGATGTGAATAAAAAACATTGTGTTTCAGGTGGAGAATCTGTTGATGGTGGATGTGATACAAAAAAATGTGTTTCAGGTGGACAATATGTCAAGCCAAATTCGGGCTAGTGACACTAATCACCACGATCAGTGGCATGCTTGACAAGCAATGTCTTCTTTAGGAGGTTTTATTTGCCAAAGGAAATAAATGAACTAATGTTTGCTCTTTCTGACACCAGTTGCAAACCAAATACATAATAAACTTGACAACATTGCGTATCATTGTTGAATCCTCACATGTTTCTATAGCAATTCAAAAATAAATTGAAACAGCTGAGTGCTAAATCTCGGCAAAAGCCAACCGTGCTTCATAAACAACCCCTACTGTCTATACGTGTAGATGTCCGAAAAAAGAATAGAATGATTCTCCTACAGTCCAGGAACTGACAGTACACGCTCAATGACAGAAGGTCACAGCCATCACCCGGTCAGTTACCAAGCCCATGTTTTCATTGACTGTACAGATGAATAGCTACTAATACTAATTGAAAATTGTTGGAACTTGGAATCATCTGCAGGGGCTTAGCCAGTTGTTAAGGCTACAGCGGAGAATCTTTTGCAGCTAGCAGCTGAAATAAACACCACTAGTTGCACCACTAGTTAGTTTTGTTCCAGGGTCAAGGAATCAGAAATACGTTCCATTTCCATATCCTGCTGCTTTTTGAGATAATCCTGTGCTGTTGACGTGATTATCTTAATGAAGAAGTTCAGAAGCACAAGCCACACTACAGAGTTCCAAACCAATGTAAAAGAGAAATTCCACTGTTTCTCCTGTGTACATGGTAAATATATTGAACCAATAAGAAAAATGAGATGAATAATCAAGAGAGGCTAAGAGAGGTCATTCCAGCTCAAACGGTCAGAGATTTTAAATGATGATACTAACCTCCATTTGAGAGGACGGCGAGACTGGCGTTGGTGGTGATAGATACTTGTCTTTGGCAGCATTGAGTTTGGCAATCACAGATGGCAGGGTAGCAGAAAACCCAGGTATGTGACCAAATATCCAGATTAACTCCTTTTCCATAAGATACAGGAGCTGATTGTTGCATAAGGACACAATAAACAGTGTCTGCGAGAGAAGAAAATTGCATATCAGGGAAAGGGGTGCTGCAACTATTGGTGTCAAACCACCTAACAACTCACTAAACCAGGTATGGAGAAACTAAAATGACTCAAAAATTCAGGAAGTCAGGCACCATAATAACCTTAGCAAGAGAGATTTCTTTTCTCAGACTACGCAGGAGAGCTGTGTGTCATTTCATTAAGGTAGAAATAAAATACGAGTCTTAGCAAGAGAGGTTTCACAACTAATTTCACTGGTTTTTTCAGGAATAATAGTCTTCAGTAGTTTTATTCTTCTACAATTATGGATACCAAATAAACCTAGAGAATCAAACCGAATCCAGTTCATCACATTATATTTCATTACTGAACTATCATTAGGTTTATTTCATTTTCTGGTTCAGTTTTTATTGAATTCTTGTAAAAAGAATAGGAATTCAATTAGCGGGAGGAATAGGACAAGACTTACTAGGGCACTCATCCTACTAATATATCAAATCAACTTATGCAAATACTGACATATTTTGTGCTGAAATCATACCCAGGCATTCTAACATGTCCCACGTCCTAAAAAATCAAAGATTGGCATGCAGTCTAAATCTAGTTATCCTGATGGGCTTTTCCTGAGATGGTTGGTAGGCTTTCAAAATTTGAATCCAAGTGGACAATAATGATCACATACAAGCATAAAACAATACCACATCGAAGAATAGTTTCATCTAATTAAGTTAATAAAAGACTCTCTTCCCAAACATTAAAAAGACCACTAGCTATCAATGGAAATCTCTCCAAAAGATTGAACACGCACGTGCATCCAAACAATGAAGTGTGTGGCAACAAGTAGAACAAAGGCACACATGAATCACAATAAACACAATTGCCGATTATTAAATAAGACAAAAGTATAAAGTTAGATGCCTCACCTGAATATGAGTCTTGATGATGGCCTTCCCAAGCAAAGTTGCAAAAAAGAACTCCCAGAAAGGTACACCGAATTGGCCACACATAATACCAGCAAGGTCAAAGAGTGGGTTCGGAACCTAACAAGGGCCATCAAAATTAGGCAATTTGTTTTTAATTCAATGAAAATCCTCTTAAGAGGAAACTTATGGTAACTGCTGTACAGGAAATGTTCCATAAACTTATTTGTTGGTGCTATTTTATCTAGACAGCTTTAAAATGTGGACCTAAAACCTTGCAAATGGTCCAAAGGTGATTTTGAAGGAACAAAGTGAAATGCTTAATAAAACAAATACGGTTGTAAGATATCGACAATGAAGAAATTGGTAACAAAGGATGGCAGACAGGGGACTAACCGAAGCAAGTATCAAGATAGAGACGAAGTTGAGATGTTGAGAGTGAGAAAGAAGCCAACGCTTGGTACGATTAAGACTGGATGCTACTGTCCCATCTTCTTTGGAAGTAGCGACATCA